AAAAATTCCCGTAGATAAAAAAACCATTACTGTGAAAACCAATAGAATACATTTTTTTTAAAAAAAGGCAGAAAACAAGATCAAAATCCATAAGGGTGGAAAGATATATATTTTTTAAAAAAAATACATTTGAGAATTAAAGAAGAAGTTGGCCTGCTGCCAAAGTGATAGATTTGGAGCCTAAACGGATCTACACAGAATTAAGTCCTATTTTATTCAATAAGGCTTACTCCCAGACAAGTGTTTTTATGTCTGCAGTCTTGGTACCAGCCAAGGAGTCTGGAAAAAAGGGCATTCCACAAAAGGCACCCCCAAGAAAGAAAGTCCTGTGTTATGAGAACCATCACCTGCTTTCTGAAGGGAGGGAAGAAAAAGGAGAGCCTGAAAAAGTGATCTTACAACTCAGGCAAGCTCGTATTGGAGCAGAAGCACCCTGACCCCAGTGAAGCTCTTCAAACACCCACAAGGTGTGTTGCCTGTAATCAACACCTGCCCACAGGTGCTGACACATTTTGAGCTAATTTAACTTTCCAAGTAGGGTTGCCAGGGCCCGCTAGGAAACTAGCAAGAGACAGGGTGGGGCATGGCGGGAGTGACAGTGTGACATCACTTCCAGGAAAACCTGGAGCTGACATCACACCTCTCTAGGAAATGCAGGAAACTCTATGGTAAACCCGTGGAGTTTCCAGCGATTCCTGGAGAAGTGTGGCATCATTTCTGGCTTTCCCTGGAACTGTGCTTTCCTAAAAAAGCAACATCTGCTTATCATGAGCCATCCTTTAAGAATATAAGAAAAGCCCTGCTGGATTAGACCAGTGGTCCATCTAGTCCAGCATCCTGTTTCACACAGTGGCCAACCAGTTCCTCTACAGGGCACAGAAGCCGTGGCCTTCATAAGGACAACAGAAGAGCAATCAGACCAATAGACAATCTAGTCCAGCATCCTGTTTCACACAGAAACCAAACAGTTGCCATGATGTTCCTCTTTGAAACCAAATCAAAAGGTAATTTCAAAATAGTTTATATACGGGGGCAGGGGGCGGAATCTGCCTGTAGTTCAAAGGAGAAAAGTCAAGAATTCTGCCCACTCAAACACAAGGCCACGGGCACACCTGAAGGCATTTTTTTAAAAAAAATCCTAGCTACTAAAATTCCTACTTTCCTGGATGATTCACACTTCCCTCTGCGGCATTAGAGGGAGCACTGATCACATCAGGCACATCAGGCACAACAGGGCTCTTCGAGGCGGAGGTCTGCAGATCGGGGGCCTTGAAAGTGGGGGGAACCCCACCCCCATTAGGGGGTTGACAACTCTAGTGGGGCCAGGTAGGACTTTTGCCCAGCAAGGGGTTTGATGGACTACTGGGTATTTTGTTAGCTGAGCAATTTTTTAAAAAATGTTGCTTTGGCCACCAGAGCACAAAGATCTATATACTGTGTTACTAAAGTTAAGCTGCGGCAATCATTTTCTGGGTGTCTCTGCCTCCTGTGACAGCCATTTTGTTGTGGTGTCCACCACGCCATGTCAGAATTCCAAACGTGCCCACTGGCTCAGAAAGGTTGGGGACCCCCTTTAAGTGCTTTTGCAAGCATTTTCAGGAAGGTAAAAAGGTAAAGGTAAAGGTTCCCTTGCTCGAAAGCCAGTCGAATCCGACTCTAGGGTTGCGGTGCTCATCTCCGTTTCAAAGCCGAAGAGCCAGCGTTGTCCGAAGACGTTTCCGTGGTCATGTGGCCGGCATGACTAAACACCAAGGCGCGCGGAACGCTGTTACCTTCCCACCTAAGTGGTACCTGTTTATCTACTTGCAATTTCTTGCTTTTGAACTGCTAGGAACTAGAGATGGGAGCTCACTCTGTCATGCGGCACACCCGGGTCTCGAACTGCTGCAGTTCAGCGTCTTAACCACTTGAGCCACCGCAGCTCCTTTCAGAAAGGTAGAGTTGGCTAAAGAAAATGCCCCATTGCCATGGTTATGAGATATGGGTGCCGCTTAGCTGGCACCTTGCTTATAGTAACTTCCAACTGAGTTTAAGCATACGCCTCCATAAGCCATTTAATTTGTTTTAGTTAAGTCACTGAGTCCGCATGTTCCCCACTTGTTCATCATGGCCCACAGGGGCAAACGATTAAGTAATTACGTACGATTGCAGTCCTATGGCAGAGAATTGCAAATGCACTGACCAATGCTCCCTCCAAGCTATGGAGTCCTGTAAGCAAAAATTCTACTTTGTGAGCTACTGGCATCAAAGTTGTGAGCAGGTGATTTAGCTACTGCATCAATGAGTTTGCTCTGGAGCCATCCTTCCTGAGCTAAGACAAAAATGTGTGAGCTGGAGGCTACAAAACTGTGAGCTAGCTTACACTAACTAAGCTTAGCAGGAACACTGGCAATGACCCTCCACATGGGTAGCAAGAAGCAACTAGGCAAGGGAGGGAGATGCTGAAATTCAGCCACCTAGCCAGTGAATCCCAAAGTGTCCTCAGCGCTTTAAATCACCATATATGCTTTGCGACAAATGTGCAAGGAGGTGATTGGAATGAAGAAAAATGTTTCATATGAGAGGCCATTAGAACTGCAGCCAGGTTAGCACACCATCCAGTTAACATTCAGGGCAAATGTGGAGACAAACTTCAATACAGCAAATCTAGGGAAATCGGGTTCTCACCAGTTTACACCCTACAGAAGACAGCTGAAAACTCCCATTGATTTCAGTGTCTCTGGATTGTAAAGTTTATGAAAATACTTTCATTTTTAATCCTCGATTCTATTAATTTAAACATCTGTATCTTATTATTCTCTCCATTGGGAACTCAGAGTCGTTTACCAAAACAAAAACAGTCAAATTATATCAGGACAATACAGCAAATCTAGGGAAATCGGGTTCTTACCAGTTTATACCCTACAAAAGACAGCTGAAAACTCCCATTGATTTCAGTGTCTCTGGATTGTAAAGTTTATGAAAATACTTTCATTTTTAATCCTCGATTCTATTAATTTAAACATCTGTATCTTATTATTCTCTCCATTGGGAACTCAGAGTTGTTTACCAAAAAAAAAACAAAATCAGTCAAATTATATCAAGACAAAGAAAGAAGACACACACATGTAGACTGTGGAACTCCAACTCCTGGGCTGGTACTGGATGCACCGGCTGTCTCACTCAAGGCTTAGGCTACAAGGTAAAGGCCAAATGCCCTTTGGCTCTTGCCCTTTCGCCTGTGGCAAAGGCTTGCATCCTAGAGGCCACACCCAGACTGCAAACCTATCACAGAGGAGCAACAGAAACTCAGCCATCATGTGTCATTCAACTGGCACAAAGACGTTCTCAGCTTTCCTCCTGTGCCCAGACACAGTCAGTCTTATTGACATTGTGTTTCTTCGAGAATAACAAAAGGGCTTTGCATCAAACATACAATGGGAGTTTTCTGTCTTCTACATATGCACCAGCTTTTCTCTGTTTGCAACGAACACCCTCCCCTGCAGTTTTTGCATTTGCGAACCATACAGAGAAGAAGAAGAAGAGGAGGAGGAGGAGGAAGAGGAGGAAGAAGAGGAGGAGGAGGAGAAGGAAGAGAAGGAGATTGGATTTATACCCCGCCCTTCACTACCCGAAGGAGTCTCAGAGCGGCTTACAATCTCCTTTCCCTTCCCCTCCCCACAACAGACATCCTGTGTGAGGTAGGTGGGGCTGAGAGAGCTCTCTCAAGAACTTCTTGTGAGAGAACAGTTCTGAGAGAACTTGTGACTGACCCAAGGTCACCCCAGCAGCTGCATGTGGAGGATTGGGGAATCAAACCCGGTTCTCCCAGATTAGAGTCTGCGCTCCTAACCACTACATCAAACTGGAGCGCTCAATTGTTAAAATGACATGACTTATGTGGCTACAGATAAGTTTCATGACGGAGCCAATAACATCTCCACCGGATGGTTTGAAATGCAAAAGCAGCAGGGGGGAAAGGTTACCACTGATTTCTCCCCACCTGTTTCGGTCACAAGTAGAAAAGTACTGTTGTGTGCATGGGGGAGAAATAAAACTCCCAGTGCATGTCTGACACAAGGTCCTCCTGTTCTTCCCCAAAGAATATGAGAACTTTGTCATGTGCTGATAACCCCTCAGACCTGTGCTTTTTGATAGCAGCTTGTTGCTGAAATGTGCTAGATCCCTCAGATGATATAAAAGTGAATCAATAAGCTAGCAGTTAGTAGCATACACTCCTAGAACTCTGTTTTCAGTAAAATATGATTCCATTAGCATTACTAACAGTGTAAACCAAAGCAGAGTTATACCTTTCTAAGCCCATTCACTTCAGTGGCCTTAGCAGGGTGAAACTCTGCTTCGGATAGCACTAGGGGTGTGCATAACAAAATTGCTGAGCTGGATAAACACATGGAAATGGCTAGTTTGGGTTGGTACACTGATTTTCTAGAACAGCAATACAAGTCCATGGTTGTTGGTATAACAAAAACCCCTTTCCCAAAACAATCTGCTTTTTTTCTTTTTTTGAGTTTGGGTGGTTACCAGTAAAGCAGCACTCACTCAAGTTTTTCTTTGATTCCACTGATTTCCTGGGTAATGGTAAGTCTCCATTCCAATCAGATTCTTGCAAGAGAGGAACACAGAGCATACCCAGCCAATTACTTTTCAAAACAAGCTGCAGAGAGCTGCTGCTCTCCCTCCCTCACTCCTTTCTGAAGGGCGGGGCTGTTTTGTTATTTGTAAATACTCTGACTGGAAAAACGGAGAGCTGGGGCAGCTTGTTCGGGGCTCCATGATTTGAACTACTGGCCCAATCTGTTTGAAACTTGGGGGTTCTTTAGAAGAGAGACAGTACTCACTCTGTGGAAATTTTAATGTCATTTGGTTGAAAAACAACCACTCCAGCCTCTATGAAATTCCCGGAGGAAATAATGGCATACCAACAGGAAGGGAGGGGGGGAGTTCTGCAAAGGAAATGGCAGACTGACAGAAAGGGATGAGAGGGGTGTGCAAGGAAGTAACTTTTACTTTGTGAAAGGGCATAAACAGGCCACAACAAAGAAGGATGGCAAATGCAGAGCTTTTAGTGGAAAGGTAAGAAATTTTCACTGCCAGTCAGTCACTGCAAGAGTAGGAAAATGCTGACAGGAGCTCTCCTACTGCCACCATTTTAGGAACTGGGGGAGAGAACGGAGCCAGCGCTGACAGGCATCTCCTTTGGAGGTCTATAAAATTGACCCCTGGGTCCAGTTCACTTGAAACTTGGAAAAGTTGTTTAGATTACAGGGTGGATTGTGTTGCTTCAAATTTGATGGCATTATCTTTATAAACAGCTGTCCCAGAGTCTCTTATACATTCCCCACTGAAAATAATGGTCCCAAACAATGCTCCCTCTAAGCTGTAGATTTTTGTGAGCAAAAATTCTACTTCGTGAGCTACCGGGATTAAAGTTATGAGCGGATGATTTGGCTCCTGCATAAATTAGCTTGCTCTGGAGCCATCCTTCCTGAGCGAAGACAAAATTTTTATTTATATTTATTTATAAGTTCAATTTATAACCCGCCCTCCCCGCGAAGCGGGCTCAGGGCGGCTCACCGTCCGGCATACGCCAGCATATAAAACATAATTAAAACCATTTAAAACATTTAAAATGTGTGAGCCAGAGGCTAAAAAACTCACACTAACTCAGCTTAGAGGGAACACTGGTCCCAAACTCTGGAACCGCATAGATTTGAATCCTGAACCGGTAACGTTCTACCCCAAACTAAGCAATCATGGTAACTCCACCTCCCCAGCCCAGATATGGAATTATAAAGATTTTTTTTTCTCAGTGCCCAGCCTTAGATCACACTGTTAGTGTCTGTACAGAGCTTTGAAGTGTTCACATACACTATCTCAGGAATCTTTAAAACTGCTCTATTCACATAGCATTTCTAGGGTTCTATTCCTATTCTTCTCCCAAGTGAGAAAAGTGATGTTAGTCATTTATTCACACATAATAAATGAGCTTGCTTTTTATATAAACTAGAAAATTATTTGCTTCACTGGGCTGAATTAATAAACTCCATGGATAACGTAATTCACATCCTACCTATAATTAGAAAACAAGACCCTGTTTGATTTGGAATGCTTTCCTGATAGCACCACCGTCAATCGCAGTCCATCTGTTATGATTGCTAATTATTTTGGAATGCAAGATGTGCTAAAAATTGGTCTCTGCCTCAACGATCTTATGGGCAAGGCTCTACAAACAGCTGCAAAGCCATCCAATGTAAACAGCTCCGCATAATAAATCCCACCAAGGGCACTTAATATAAGGCTTAACATTCCAGTTCAAATGCTACTTTACCTCCTGGGATTTCCTCTGGAGTGATAACAGGAATGGAAATCAGATCTGCACATTTTTATCTCTATTTCCCACAGGTCTCCACACTGGTGATACAAGGGGACTAGCGGACCAGGAGATTGGTGTTGGAAAATACCATCAAGTCACAGCCAACTTATGGCAACCCCAGAGGATTTTCAAGTAAAGAAACAAAGAGAGGTAATTTGCCACTGCCCGTTTCTGTGTAGCAACTCTAGCTTTTCTTTGTGGTCTCCCATCCAAGTTCAAACCAGGGCTGACCCTGCTTAGCTTCTGAGATCAGCTGAGGTTGGGCTACCCTGGGCCATCCTGGTCAGGACAACCAGGAGATCATGGGTAGAAAAAGTTCTTCTGTTCAAATATCTGAAATCTCCCCCATGTGTTTGTTACATTCTTCCTGCAGTGAGTGGGCTATGGAGAAGGCAATCTGTGAAGAGGGAGCCCACTTCTGGTATCACCCCCATTTGAATCCAACGGGGATGGAGTAGCATCTGAAACAGGTCCAACCCCTCATTACAGGAACAGATGTCATATAGTTTCCTTCCTAATCAAAGTGTTCCTTTGGGGGGAAAAACCTTTTGCAGCCCACATGTAGCTATGGGAGAAAGCAATCATTCCTAGATTGCAGGTGTCATGAAAACCCTTTCAGCTAGAATAAAAGACAAAAAGAGGTACTTTTGTCCTTGTGCCCAGATCATGCTTTTCAGCCATTGAATCTGACATCTCAGTTTTGAAATCAATAGCAGG